AGAGAGAGAGAGAGAGAGAGAGAGAGAGAGAGAGAGAGAGAAGAAGACTTACCTGTACCAGCGCCATAGCTGGCTCCGCGGTACCTGCAAGTTCAGCCATCGCCAGGTAAGTGCAGAAAGCGCCTAGCTTTCTTCTTCTTCTTCTTCTTCTTCTTCTTCTTCTTCTTCTCCTCTCCTCTTCTCCTCCTACTCCTCCGAAGTTCTTCTTCTTCTTCTTCTTCTTCTTCTTCTTCTTTATCAGAGTAGAGATAGAGGTAACTGCAGACATTGTTTGGACACAGCATTCTGCCCTATTGGACACGACATTCAGATCGGACTTACACTCTACATTGGGATTGAACTGTGTGCGACATTCAGAGATCAGACTTGGGTTGGACTTGGTTACCTCCTATGTCCCTCCCCCTCCTCTCTCGCATGTCTATGGATCTCTCCCCATGTGTGTGGGCGGAAGGGCTATCTTTCTGATGTCTTGCCCTTCCGAAGTTCCTCCCTTTCATGTTTGTTGTCCACGTGTCCTTTTTGATACTAAATATTCCGCTGCGCTGCTTTCCAGCCCATGATGATGATGATGATACAAATGTGTTGTTGTTGTTTTCTCATTGGTTTACTCGTTACATTGTGCACATTGGCATCTTGTGAATGTTGCATCTATGCTGCTGGTTGTTGCCACTTTCGTCATTGCTAGATCCTAGGCTCTCAGTGCATTTCATTTTCTGATATGCTACATTGAAGGAGGGAAGACATAGCCATGGTGGACTTGTTGTTGTTGTTGTTGTTGTGAGTTGAGTCAGCAGTAAGGGGGAACTTCGGACATTGATTCTGGTTCACCCATTCATTGTTATTATTATTATTGAGAGAAGAATAAGATTGGTGAAGAGAAGGAGGAAGGAGGAAGGTGGAGAGAGAAGGGGGAATTGTCATTGGTCTTGCTGGTGTACTTCTTCTTCTTCTTCTTCTTGTTCTTCTTGTTCTTCTTCTTCTTCTTTACCTCTCCTCTGGTCTTTATCTCTTGCAAGTGCTTTCATTTCTTTCGCAATTGGGTGGCATTGTCTTTCATTGTGAATTTGCACTTGGGAAATGACCAGGATCGTAACATAATTCGAAAATATTTTAGAATGAATTAAACTCTTTTTTGACATTTATTTTTTGAAAAACATTTCTATTTTTTTTTCTTTTCAAAAAGATTAAAAAAAAAAAAAATTGTAATTAATTGTTTTGGGGAATTTTTGTAATTCGAAAATATTTTAGAATCAATTAAATTCTTTTCATTCGGATTAATCAATTCTTTCTCAATATTTCTTTTTCGAAATTTGCAACTACTTTTACTTCATTCTTTTTCGAAAATTTTGAAATACGTTCGAATTAATCAAATCCCTTTTTTATATTTCTTTTTTGAAATTCGGAAATAATTTTAATTAATTCTTTTTGGTTTCAAAAATTTTCTTGAAATACATCATAATCAATTAATTCCTTTTCGCAATTCTTTTTCAAATTTTTTTTCCAAAATTCCTTTTTTTATATGATTCGAAAGTACTTTTTTTTTTTTTTTTTTGCTATTCTGAATTCCTCAATTAATTTTGACTAAATTCAAGTAATTCACATCTGAATTAATCTCTTTATTCGAAATCAATCACTCTTTTTCGAAATTTTTACATCTTCTTCTTGTAAAATTCCTGCAAAATACCTTTTGAATTTCACCAATTATTCTTAGAAAAATTCAATTCCGAATTGATCTATTCAAAATTAATTCTTGTTTGGTGAATTTTATTTGGAATTACCTTTATTGCTAAATCAATTGATGACATTCTTCTCTTGTAAATAGGACGACAACCCCCGCTGTCACGCAGTCATCAACCATTCCCTCCCAGTCAAAACTCCTCATGACTTCATTCACTATCACTTCCAACCATACCTAGATCACCCCCACACCTCAAGCCCTGCTCCCTGTTATCCCAATACCTCCTCCGTCCACACTCCTCCCGACCAATCCCACTACTGACGTCACCCGAGCACCGTCCTCCTCACCCAAACTTGATTTCAACACCCTCGCCACCACAACACCCTTAACGGGTAACATTCCCCCATCCTTCCGGTCAACGGATATCCCCCCCTTCACCGGCCTCCCTCACGAGGATGTCTTCGTCTTTCTCAGCAAACTATACGATGCCTTCTCCCTCCACAACGTCCCTGTCACACACTAGCTCCCTATTGCCAGCACCAGGCTACAGGAAGGCGCCGCTCGTTGGTGGTACACCGAACGAGCTAACCGCCAACACGCAAACGAGGAACCCCATTCCTT